TTAAATTAAGTTAATCAAACACGGGTTACGAGTGCAACAACTTCAGCTTGCAGGGAAACAGAAAATAGATATAATAAGTCTCTGAATACAGTGCGACCTTCTCCCCTTCCTCAATCCCCAATTCAATCCCCTGCATCGGACTGCTTGGTAATCGAGAAACTGGCACAAGTGGACACTGAAGAGTCATCGACAGGACGATGATGGGGATGCAAATGCCGACGAGAAGGGGAATAAGGATGGGGATGAGAACGAGGACCCACCTGGACAAAGGGTCAAAGGCCACTGGGCAAACAAAGTAATAATCCTTATCACAACGTGTTCTCGATTACACAAGCAGAAATCAAAAAATTACTGTCTTCATAAAATATAAATGCTTAACTCAATTTTAAAATCATTATTAATAAATACGCAAAACAGAATTATTATTTAACACAGTTTTTAAAATTTTACTATGACTGTAGTGAGATTAATGTTTTTTTTTGTTTTAATTTACATTATTTTAAACATCTTAATTTTACCAAATTTAAAAAAATCACTTGTTATGCCTACATCAATTATTTTAAATACAAATAAAATACCCTTAAATATCTTAAAATATTTGTCTGTGTATGGGGCACACTCTTACTCACCTTGAGTTGAGATTTCCTCTTGAGGGCGGCAATTGAACGAGTTTGCTGTCGTAGAACCTCCAGTGCAGCAACGAGGTCAGAGGTCGAAAATCAAAACGAAATTGAAAACTGATTCCGGCCAAAAAACTGAAATCATCGAAACGGAATAACAATATTTGGTGGCGCGAAACACTCTCGAAATCTAATTTTGTTTTTCAGTTCTTTTTTCCCGAAAACGTTGATACTCTTGCAAAGGGTTTTATAACTCGAAAGGTTTTACAAATAAATAAAATATTAACCATTTTTAAGAAAGAAATCTTAATGATGTGTATTTTTTTAAATTTTAAAATACTGGTTAATAAATAAATAGAATTATTAAAATATATATTTTTGTTTTTAACATTTTCCAATAGCAAGAGCATCTAAATTTAATAATATTCCAGATTCCGCCTTAGATTTATCCGATTCGTTTTGCTTTAATTGTTTACGTATGCGTGAGGAACGGCGCGAAAGAGATGAAAAACATATCGTTTGGATTATAAACATTTAGCAATGAAAATCGCTTTCAATATTTTCATTTAATTTCCATGATTGCTTTAATTGCACGTTTTGACTGAGTAATGAGTGGGTGAAGGAAATTTCACGCTTAGTTCATTTTCTTTGTTTTATAATATTTAAGAATATTTAAGAATAATTGGGAATATTTGAGGTTTCTCTTTCACTTGGAATAACCTTGCGCAATTTTAAAATTTTATGTTGTTGGGAGGGGTTTTCCACTGCATATTTCCGTTACGTGCCGTGCAACCGGAAGTGCACACACACACACACACAGCCCACACCAATACTCTCAAGTGCATGGGGGCTACTTTTTTATACATTTTTTTCTATGGTTTGGTAACTTTCAAGAGGGTGTTTGACCCATAAATGAATTTATGCCAATTTAGAAAGGCAAACACAGTTGTGGGCTTAAAAAAAGGGCAACGGGGGGTTAAACATTGGGGCGGGGGCGTTGGCTAACCAATTAAAACGTGTTTTTTTCAGAGGGGTTGTTTATTTATTTGGTATTCCCTGTTGCTGTTAACAGGGGCAGCATAACCGGATATTTTTATGCAATTATTTTAATGGCCTAGACACCAACGCAAACACACACACACACAAGGACAAGCCCACTTTTTACTTGAAATTTACTTGTTTTCCTCTAGCTATTCGCCTGCCTTTTGGCCAAATTAAACAATATTTTTTTTTCACTTTAATAATTGGAAATATTAATGCGTTGCCCGCGGTTTGTCCGAGTTTTCCGTGCGCCTTGGCCAGCAGTCGACATGCAACTGAGGGAGTGGAAAAGTCGAAACAGCTGAAAAACTGCAAGGACTACCGATCCCAAAACCGAATCTTACAGCCCAGACGAACTCTGAACCGAGTTTTGGTGGGGGGCTGCGGGGGGAATTCCATTGAATGGTGGCCCCAAAAACTCAATGAATACGCCAAGCCGGCAATGCAGGCGCTGCAGGGCGCATGTGTCCTGTAGTAAAACGGCGGCAAGGATAATGAACTCTGCCAAGTGCAGGTCGCTGGTCCCCACCCTTATTTAAGGGGAATGAGGTAGTAAGACTCAATACCTAACAAATTATTACTAAGCATTCTTAATTTCCTTTATTTTTGTAAATTTTTTTTCATATTTTAGAATTTTATAGAATTCTTATCACTTTTTTCTTATTTTCAAAAAGACCGCGCAATAAAAGGACATTAACCAACACTGGAAGCTTTGCCAGCAATGCTAGAGATGGCCTTAACTCGATTGTCGTGCGACAGCTATGCCTTGTGTTGTTATCGAATATTCATTGTTTACCAGCTGTCCAAAAAATTTCTTTTTATTTATAAATAAATAAAAAATTAAATAAAAAAGAAGCCAAGGCATTACAACACATAGTTTGGTGATTCACCGACATGAGTGCCTCCTTAAGATACACAGAAAACCATCGGCTGTGCCGGCTGCAACTGTAGCATTAGTATTACCCATCGCACCACTTGTGGACTCCAGTTTGCAATGCTTAGCGAGGATCAGGAATTCCTGGAGGAAGCAGAGGAGCCCTGCGCCGTCTGGAAGTTCCGCTGCAGCGTGGCCAGGTGTCCCTACCGGACCAACAGGCCCTACAACATGGCGCGCCACGAGGAGTCCCACTCGAATCCCACGGAATCCAAACTGAACTGCTGTCCCTTTTGCGTCTACAGCACCGACAAGTCTTCCAACTTAAAGCGCCACATATCCACCAAGCATCCTGGCGCCCAGGATCGGCTGCCGGAGATTCAGTCCCTGGATCGCACGACCAAGATTCAGTGCCAGGTTATGGGCTGCAGGTACGAGACGAATCGCCCGTTCGACCTCAAGCGCCACATGATGGTGCACAACAATCCGGAGAAGAGCCACAGGACTTTTAAGTGCTCCCTCTGCACCTACAGCTCCGACCGGAAGGGCAATCTTAAGCGGCACCACGAGCTGCGCCACTCGGGCATCGAGGAGGCCATTCAAACCGCTGAGGAACTGCGCCAGGAGTTGCGAATGGAGGAAGAGAGGCTGGAGAAGCAAAAGCTAAAGGATAAGATGCTGGAGGATCAGAAGGAGCAACAGCTGAAGAAACAGAAGCTGGAGGAAGAGAAGTTAAGGGAAAAGAAGCAAAAGGATCAGTTGCTAGAGCATCAGATGCTTGATGTTCACATGCTGGAGGACCAGCTAGAGCAAGAGGACATTCAGGTAAAGGTAGAGGCAGCGCTGCCCAAGCCGAAGGAGAATTTGCTTAGCAGCTTAATGGAGGACCTCGTTGACGAGGAACAGGAGTTTGTGTATGAGCCCATGCAAGAGGAGCAGCCGCCCATAATCACCATTTGCAAGCCGCACATAATCCACGGAGACATCAACAATAAGCAAGTCATTGTAAGCTGTTAAACTACATGTTTATATACAAAATTCAGATTCTAATTTTCGTCTAACCAGGCTGTCAATGTAAATGGCCAGCTGCGGTGGTTCCAATCAATAGATCCACCGCCAGGAGCTCCCACAAAACTGGAACTAGCCGCGGATAAGCAAGCAGTCTTCGCCCAGCAGCGAATGGAGGAGTTGGACGATGAGTTGGCCTTGTCACTAGCCGAGCAGGATCAGCAGGAGGAACTGCTCGTCGAAATGCTGGCTGAAGAGAAACCAGTCGAGGCTAAGCAGACCACTGCCATAGAATTGGACTGGAGTTGGAGTACCCCTCATGTGAGATATACCTCTTAACACTGGAAAGACATAGCTCTCTAACCAACTCCTTATCACTGAAGGCTGTACACCACATTACGCCCACTATTGAAGACGACGAGCACAAAACTGACGATGTGGATGCGGATTTTCCCGATTGGTGGGACGATGGCAAATACACAAAGTTGTCCAAGAACCAAGTATTTCGGAATCAGTCGAAGAAACCCTCGAAAGCCAATGTGCAGCGTATTCTGCGGATAATCTACGATGTCTATTACAAACCATTCAAGGAAGATCGCAAGCGGTTCGAGGCCTTTCAAATCAAGGACTCCTGGTTGTGCGCCACTCGTATGACTCGCATGCAGATTATCAAGGACATGTACTCAAAGCAGGGCACCTGAACTATAGGAAAAACGTATTCTTTGGATTAGTTTATATATTTTTAAGAAGATCCAAGTATAGTTTTAAGTGTAAAGTGTACGAATTAAGCAGAGCACAACTTGTTTTGACATTAGGCATTGACATTACATATTCTAAGCTTATAAAAAAAATATAAGTTTAATATTTCTTAAAACGTTATTCATAAGTTAAGTTGCTTATGAAAAATATATATTAAAACAAAATAGGAAAATTAATTTTAAATAAATGGTATTTTTAATACGGCAATGGCATATTGTGGTTTTTTACGGCCCCATGGTATTTTGTAACATTTTAGGGACGGTCACACTACTTCCAGCAAGTAAAGTAATTTCAGCAGCGTTTGCAGATTTTTTGCATTTTAATTACTTTTGTCCGCAAGTAAAGGCATGATCGCTGTGATCAAGTGATTTGTGTCCCAGTGAACTGGAAAAGTTATAGATTTAAAAAACAGGAGCTCTCAATTCGTGTAGACGTAGCAAAAAAAAGCAAAACGAGCAGCCGGAAAAGACGCCGCTGGTGAGTTGAGTTAACTGTGCATAAATTGGGGCCAATATTTATCTTGATCCGAGGAACTCAACGATTTGTTTATTTAATGACTTGCTGGCTGGCCCCGCTTTTACCCTTTCTCTTCCTTTTTCCCCCGTTTTCCTTTTGTTTGACTTTTTGGCGCAATATTATTCACCACACCGGTGTGAACCGAGTTCACCACAACACGAGCTCTGCCCAGAAAGGTACTAACGCAATTTTCCTACACCGTGGCGCATGGTCATATTGTTTTGTCTTAAAAAAAAAAAATATTCCACGAAACCATTTGAATTTTTCCGGGAGTTTAACTGTTTAGTTGTTTGTGTACACAGGTTAGAGATTTTCAAGGTGAGTTTGAGGTTAGGACTGATGCAGAAGAAAATAATATCTAAATTTCGCCTCAAGAACAAGAACGATCATGGCCTGGGTTCCCAATTCGCGTTTCGAGGACGATCTGGTGGACATGGAGCCGGATTTTAACCTAGTCCACGGCCAGTTGGCCTACGAGGCCAAGAAGAAACAGGAGTTCTGTCCGCGTCCCAAAGCCACCTACGAATATCTGACGGCCCGGGAAAAGCGCAACTCGGAGCAGGAAAAAGTCAATGGAGGCCCAGGCGGAAAGGGTAGGGAGATCAGGGAAAGCCTCCAGATGATGGAGAAAATTCAGAAAATATCGGGAACCAGGCCGCTCGGCGAGCATGCCACCATGGCCGACTGGGAGGACGACAGCACCGCGGAAATGGAGTTGGTGGCCATCATGCGGCACTTTGGAATGTCATCCATGGCCGAGGACACGATGCCCGATCTGCCAGAGATCAAACCTCACGAAGGACCCATCCATGTCATAAGAAACGGTCGCCGGAGTTTTCCCCTTATTACAGACCCCGAATTCTTCAGAGCATGTAAACCGCGCCGACCAAAACAACCCAGCAGTGCCAAAGAACTCAACACTGCGAACGATTCCATTAGTGATTCCTATTACACAGCCGATGGTTCGGCCAGCTCCATTAGCCTGTACGGATCTGCCAATTCCCATTTGGACAGCAGCCCGGAAAAGCAAAAGACCATGAAGCCAAAGCGGGAGGTGTACCTGGAAATACCATACCAACCGTTGGAAGAGAGTTTCGGCCAAGAGGAGAGGTCCTTTGCCAAGGAGGCGAGCACATCTACGTCGGAAAAAACCTATGGAAGAAGGAGGAACCGAAGGCCCAGCCAAAAAGAAAGAGGCCACCAGCAATACGAACCCACGGACCCTAGGCAATAAACCACCAAAGAACCTCAAAGAGCAATTCCCAATTATGTACGCTATGTATCCAAATCAAAAAACCAAGCAACGATTCGTTTTTGTATAAAATAAGCATCTTGCCACTTTTATATAAAGATTTTTGTTTCATAAGTCTTTTGATTTGGGTACATACGCACCTCATATTATAAATTTTTTATACCCCTTACTTGTTGTAGTATTGAAGCAAAAATAAGGATTTAAAAGGATATTCTTATAAAATTAGATAAATTTGGTTTGGAAAACCAGTTAGGATATTGGCCTTAGTCTATTTGATCTGCATATTTACACGCAATGGCAGGTTGGAACATATTGTTTGATTTGCGAGACATTTTAGGGTAAACCAAGTATTTATTTTATTTAAACATATGAAACTCAAAGAAATTTTTTAGAAGGGGCAACTCGACTATAGCGTTATTATAATTTTATAAATCGTGTAATAAAAAACCAATTTCCTTCCATAATTTTAAATTTTGGTTTAATTCACCTTTCAAGATTCCATTAAATAACTATACAGTATGGAAGATTAAAAATAAGTCGTTAACTATGGTTTTGATAAAATATGAAAATTTATTAAATCGTAGGAAAAGTCTTCACTTCCTCCGCGTTCTTTTAAAACTTTGATGAAGCTGGGAATATTTTTGATGACCAAGAAAGGCTTGCGTGCAAGGTGCTGCTACATACGAAGTATTACTCGTCGGTTGTACTGTCACAATTGTATGGATGCACCTGACGGATGTCGTCTTCGTAGCTGACCACTCTGCAGATGGGGCACCGATTTGACTGCCGCCAGTAGGTGCGGATGCATGTCTTCCCGAAAAGGTGACCGCATTTTAGCGAAACCAGCCTGTGGTGGCCTCTGGCACTCCAGTTCAACAAGCATATGCAGCAACTGTTCTCTGCGTCTATAGTCTCCAGCTTTTTCCGCAATTCGCTCGTCGCGTTATTGATAGCTTCTTCATGGGCCTTAATCCTTTGGCGCAATCCGTCAGTTTTTTTCATCTCCTCTTGCAATTGTTTAAACAGCTCGTTTTCCTGTTCCCGTAGCTTCTTGAGTGTCGGAACTTTGTTGCCATTCTCAGTGAGTTGCTGGGTCCGTTGTACGCCCAGTTTCCTCTGTTCCAGGAGCTCTTCCACGATTTCCCTCTTTAGCATTTTCGATGTGGAGCGCGGCTTGGGCTTTTGATTGGCGAGGCTTTTATTCATTTTATTATGTATAAATATAAATAGCAAGAAGAAATCAAATTTCTAGACAAATCAGCGTAGAAAACACGAATGTTATGAAATCTGTCCCGTCAAATCTGAAGTTCTAGATGTAGTCTGCCATGATTAACAGTGCTTAAAAAGACGTTGCTATCTACAAATGTTGTAAGTTGATTTGCAACACTATCGTCAAAGATTTGGTATGGTCATATAAAAATGTATCTTTAAAAACTATTTATTTATCAGGTCAGATTAAAAGTTGCAGGGATTTACCAACACTGGCGTATCGTAGTATTGAGCTGTCAAGTCTTTTTAGCTCCTGACAAATCATTCTGCTCTGTGAACTATAACTTGCCAGCAAAATTTGTAGAGTTTCTTATTACTAAAAAGCTAAATGGAGAAAAAAGATATTTCGAAGATGCTTAGGAGGGAGCTCATCTTGGAGCTCCACAAGCAGAGAGCGGAGAATGATAAGCAGGAAGAGCTGATCCAGGCCAAAATCCATCTGATCACCCTGCGCAACCAGGTGCAGGAGGAGAAAAGGAAATCCGAGGAGCTGCAAGAGAAACTAGCGATCCAGGATAAGGATTTGAAGCCATTTATCGACAGGGAGAACCAGAGTCTGTTGGCCAAACTGGAGAAGATAACCGAAGGAAACAAATGTTACTTCTGCAAGTTGAAGTTTCAATCGGAAACCCATCGCCGAGCTATTTTAAAATGCGGACACGTATTCGGGGAAATGTGCATTCATACTTATTTGATACTGCACAAAAACTGCCCCATCTGCGATTTTCCGGCTGTTTTATGGGATGTTCGTATTATTATAGCTGGCGAATACCTTTGCACAGCAGACTGTTTTTTTTCATAACTTTATTTATGAAAGAAAAATAAATATTTGATGTCAACAACTTTAGGTTTAAATTTGTTTACGCAAATTGAATAGAATTTAAAGGCATTGGCATTTATTTGCAACCAAATATATACTGATAAAAAATCTTTTTTGTGGGATGTTTATTTTGAGAAACATTAGATCAATTAAGCGCTCTTAAGGATGTACTTCATTTCCATTTAATTTCCCTAATTCAATCAGGGGATGAAGTGAATATTTGGCAATCATATCGAAAACTGAGTGAGCATAATAATTCCTTAATCAATAAACCCCCTTCCGCTGCATTCTATTGTTGTTGTGTTGGGAACTATTATTAATTTGGCAAAACCGACGCGCCCATCAATTAAGCCCAATAATCTGTCCCAGGGACAATAGAATAACATTGAGAAATTTCCTCACAGCACGTAAGAATTAAAGGGAGAGTGGGGGAATTATAGAATTGGGAAGTAAGTAGGGGAAGTAAAAACAGTCCTACATCCAGAACTAACAATTATTAAATTAATACCTGCAGTTTGAATTGTTAATAATAAAATGTAAAAATATTGTACTGTTATTTATGAAGCCTTATGTAAATACAATGTGTTCCGAATTCTTTTTAAAACCTTCGGTGTTAACTATGATACATTACTTTGTTATTTTAGTTGTTCATGTCTATCAATTTTCCATTAGTTAGTCTAAAAAACATGATACAATTAAACGCCATCAATGTAAAACCTCCATTTTTTTTTTTAATAATATGGATTGCTTGTTTTGAAAAAATAATTCAATTATTAGTTGCTGAGCTTGGTTTGTTTAGCGAAGGTGTACTGTATTTGGGCGGTGGGAGTTGAAGTTGTCTGTCTCCTTTTTCTCGGCGGCTGTTGCTCTCTCATCTCTTTTTTGCTCGCAGCTTCTCTTCTCGCCTGAGAGTGTGAACTCACACACACACACACAACCGAAAGTTTTCAGTTTCCGTGGCAACCGCGTGCGTCTTTTGTTTCCTTTTTCTTCTTTTGCGATTTTCTTTATTTTATTCCCTTTTCTTTATTTTGCGGGGTTGTCAAGCAAAAGTTTTTGTTGTTATTAGTGGTGAAATGGATGCTGTAGTTGTTGTCTTTTATGCATAGGTCTGCTGCTATTGTTGTTGTTACGCAGTTATACATAAATATGTGTACATACATATGTACATAAATAAATATTGATGTAGTCAGCGAAAAGGAGACAGTCCAGAAGGGTCTGGAAAGGGGGAAGGGAGGAGTTGTAGAGCGGGGCAGACGATACCATCCACACGCTTTACATATGTATGTATGTATGTACGTACATTGCTATGTGTCGCCTATATGTAAACGAGTCTGGAGTCGCGGTCTTATTCGATGAGCGAAAGGCGAAGCGAAATCAAAAATAAAGAAGCAGTTCGACAAATGGCGCAAGCTATTAAAATAAATATGTGCAGGAACTTTTTTTGGGGTGGACCCAAGTGTAAAAGTTTAAAATAACGAAAAATCAAATATTTATAGCTCTCTTTTTTGGGGGGCATTTCTGACCGACTAAATCTTTTTAAAACACCTGAAGTTCACTGTTTCACCTTTTTATTTTTCTCAATTCGATTTAATTTTTTCAAACTTACTAGGACCAACCACATAACTTTTAACTTTGTTTACTTATCAAACGCATTCAACCATTTAATGCATAATCCAATTACTCTCAAAATATCAAATTTCCTTGTGTTTAGCTATGAACATAAGAAAGCTTTGTTCACAAGGTCCACTCCAATTCCTACGCACATGAGTTGCGGCGAGAGTTTCTGACGCGAAGTCAACTGAAGCTGCCGAAAGGTAAGCTGCGTACAGTGGGATAACGTAAACGTTAAACCTTAAAAAAGAAAAATAATAAAGGTCTACATTTTATCTGCTTCCAACCAAATTAAGTTTTTACTTTAAACATTTATCCTTACTATTGCCAATAATTTTTAAATTTTTGATTTTAAGAATAAAATTTTGAAACCGAGTTCCACTGTGCAGTGGTTGAACAGAGTGGGAATAGCCAAAGGAGCAACAGCCCCCGCCGGTAGCCGGCTTTCAGCCTCTGCAGCGGTGTTCAGAGACAGGGCACAGTGGGGTGGAAACACAGAAAACACCTTAAATGGTATTAATGGAAAGGTAATAAGCTTTATAAGTAAAGGTCGAATAGATAATACATTAGTGTATGACAATGAAACGAGAGTAAAGTTAAATAAGTACCGAATTTTTTTGTTCAAAGATAGCAAGTCTCTTTGCGCAGAAGTCTTGATCCAAATTCTTTCGATATTCGAAAATATTACACATCGACTAAGTTAATCAAATCTTTTCTCTGATTAGAAATCAAATTAGTTGGTACTAAATTATTTTTAAAGTAGAGATTATGATCCCTGTATGACCATCCCACTGTGCAGTGCTGAACTTGAGCGAGAGAGCAAGTTGAACTTGCCAGATGCTGCGGTAAAAAGGAAAAGCAAGAGGAGAGGAGTCTACCACCACTGCCACTGGCATCCCTCTCTTCCTCCACTCCATCCACCTTCCTGCATTTTGTTTTTGGCGCGCGCAAGCGTAAGCTCTCTCCGCCTCTCCCAATCTCTCCGGCGCTCTCTGGAAGTTTCGAGTCTCTAACGAGGCTTACGGTGGCTTACGATTTGCTGACACTTACGTTGCCTGACTTACGTTTGGCAGTTCGATTTGAACTTTCAGACGAAGCGCCTGCCACAGGAATAAGGATACAGCGAAAGCGAAATACATACTATTAGACCTCGCCGCATCGTAATAGTAAATTAATATCTCAGACAGGACGAAGCGCCTGCACGGATACAGATACAGATACAGCGAAAGCGAAATACATAGTTCAACTAGGAGACCTCGCCGCATCGTAATAGTGAATTAATAGTAGTACAACTACTACTGCAGTTGTAGGCGGCTCTTTTCAATCGAATCGCAAAGGAGGATAATGGCGTGGCAGAGAGAGAAACGTGTGGAGAAGGACGAGGTGGGGAAATGGGAGTGCAAGGACCACGAGGCTGTTTCATTAAAATTGGGATACAGACAAAACGCGGCTCGCAGGATACCGGATACGTCTGTGTGCGTTTGTGTGCCGCATCCATTCAGGAGGCAACAAAGAAAAGGGACGGAAGACATTTTTCAGTGGTGACTTTCTCGACAAAATCCTTAAAAAAAAGGACAAAACGGTTCGGTTCCTATTCATTCGGTCTCTCGGTCTTCGGTTTCGGGGTAGTTCCTCAATCTCCTAGAAGAAGCAGAACAAGATGATGAACCTGAAGGAGAAGCCGTCAAAGAAACCGCTTCGCAAATATTCGGCGCCCTTTCGCTTCAAGTTGCCTAAAATAATATGGAGAATCATGGAGAATATGTAAGAAACCAACAACTTTTTATTAAATTCTTAAGTAAATAGGAAATATTGAATCCTGATAGGAGAAAAAATGGTCTACGATATCAATGACTTTGCTAATTGCAGACTAATCCAAAGTTTTCCAACACAAACTTGAAATTAAAGAAAGAAAAAAAAACTCGCCTAATGCAAAGAATACTATTTAACAAAATTCTTTTATTAAAGACCTTTAAATTAACTATCCCAAAATCGGTTATATGAAATTTAAATTTGAATGTTATGATAACACACAATGCAAAAATCACCAATTTTATAATTTTGTAGAAGACAATGAGAAATACAAAATATGAAAAACAATTTTTTAAGGGATATACAGCTTGCTTTTCTAACTGTTTTACTTTTATATTACAACTTGGTAGGTTTCCTCTTCCGAAAAAAATCTTGCAAAGTTTCTCTTTTATAAGAGGGGTTTAAATAAAACTAAAACAAATTCACTAATCAAACTTTTATAATATGAACTTTAAGAATCTCAAAATTATTCCCAATCCGTATAATCAAAAGAAGAGATACCTTACTCTGAAGTATATTTAAAAACCACAACAAATTGCACATGCGGCATTTAATTTATATTTTTTGCGGCCACTCTTTGGCTTGTGCGTCTTTTCCCCCTCCTCTTTTTGCAACGCCCGCGAAATAAAAAGGAAAACCTCGAGGTTACCAGCGGAGCAGGTGGAAAAGCAACAAACAAAAAATATATATATAAAAAAAATAAATAAAAAACGCAGGAAAAAAACTTGCAGCGCTGGTCTGGCCACTTGTCCGTCTGTCTGCCAGCCTGTTAGGCCCGTCCTTTTCTCTCACTGTACCCGTGTATTAGTGTGTATCTGTGTGCGGCTTTTTTATGGCCATGCAATATCTTTTTTCATTTCTGGCTTTCCTGTTCGCAGCCTCCTTCTGCTGCTGCTGCTGCCTGCTGCTTCTTCTTCTCCTGCAGCTTGTGCTTCATGTACAGGGCGCATAAAATAAGATGGGGAAAAAAAGCGAATGTTCAAATTGAAATACTTTACAAAACTCGTATTTGCTTAGCCTTATCGGCCCCGCACAGATACGAACGCACACACAGACAGACACCTCAGTCTCAGCGACTCTCTGTCCTGGTAACGAAGTTATATCTTCCCCGCTGTTGCCAAGAGCCTCCGAGTCTTCAGGTCTTCAGGTCTTCAAGTCTTCCAGTCCGCTCCTCGGTCTCCGAGGTCCGTGGACTTTCAAGCGCCTGTAACCGGTAGATAAAATGCAAAATTAAAAAAAAAATAAAAAATGAAAAACTAAAAACCAGCCTCCTGTGGCATCTGCATAATCCCCAAGCGATCAATAAAGCAGGGCATTCTCCGCTGCAATTAGTGGGCTATATCACTCATCGCAAACGAGACAGATCATAATGCTCTATAATGATGATTGGAGTGCGTCCCTTCTGGTTACGGTTGCAGACAATTACTTCTGATTTTGTAATACTATAAAATATTTAACCTCTGAAAATATATTCGGATGGTTTACAAGAAAATTGGACTTAAACCATCTTTAAATTATTGAACTGGGCTCAATTTCATGTAATAAGATCTTCAATTAATTTAGGATTTAACAATCTGCTTATGAGATTTAGTCAGGCATCTGTAAACAAAAGCTAATAAAAGGGGTTAATTATCTCATTATAGCCTTTATTTAACTGGGTAATTTAAAAGGAAAGTTAAGTAAACCTTTACGATTTTAAACCACAACAATAGTAATTAGTTAGGACCACATACGTATAATAAATTCTGCAGACAACGGGCACTCAAGCTTTTCAACTTTCTGTCGAATCATAAAAGAACATTCATAAATTTGTTTACTGCAATCCATTTCCTCTAATCCTCGCTTGCGTTCTACCCACTCCTAAATCTCTGGTGAAGGAAACCAAATCCCCTGTTAGAAATCGGAGCTAATGGCTTGGGCTAACCATTAACCAACGTCATTACAGGGTTTTCTGGCATCAGCCAATAAAGCCAGCATGCTGACCATGGCCCGTAGTCGCAGATAGCCTGACTTACTCTTTTGCCGGACTTGAACTCCATACTCCATGCTCTCCAGACTTGATGTGACTTACCCACAATGTCATTAATTTTACTCGTTGCTGGTTTTCAGTCTGCTCCTTTGCCCACTCAGCCGGCGACTAGTTTTTAGTTCGACCCCTTCCCTCATTCAGGAAAAAGCCACTTGTCCAGAAATACACTTAGAAAACGAAGCATTTCATTTAAAATTATAGAAATTCATAGTTGATTGGATATAATAAATAAGAGTCCTTTGGTTTTATATTTTATCAAGATGATATAATGGTATTTCTAAAATAATGACAGAGTTTTAAATTTCTTAGTTTAGTTTAGCTTAGATTAGCTACTCGGATTGATGTTTTTTAATACAAATATCACACATTCATATTTTAAAAGACCACGCTTTTTAGAGCTATAATTATATTAATTATTCAAAAATTTTAGTAGCTATACCATTGTTTTAATCACTGTGTAATATCGAAACTTGCTCCTTACACAATTTTCTTCTTTTTAGTTTGCTTTTTCAACTCGACTCTCTTTTTAGCCTTTTTTTTACCAAGCCATGAAAATGTTGTAGTGTAACTAAAGTGTGAGTTGGTGTTGGTGTGGCAACAAAGACACGCTCCAATCCCCACCCAGTGCCCTTTTCCACCCACCCATCGCACTTTAACCCCATCGCCTTTGAGTGTGCAGTGCAGTGTTCGCTTCGTTTGACTCTTTAATTTTATTTGATTTTAACTCTGTAACTTGTTTGTTTAGGATACGGTTTTTGGATCCTTTCCAGCTGTCTCTTGCCCACAACCCTACCCGGACCTTTCCGCTCTCCTGCTCCTGTGAACTTCATTTTCACCGAATTGTTTAGTCATAGGATTTTCCCAGATTTCATTACAGCTAATAAAAGTTTTCGCAGGAAAAGACATTTATCTGATCGGACTTTTTTGTTAAAAAAAAGAAAACATCATTAAAAGATTTACTCTTCTTTTTCGTTAGTCATTTATTTTTGCTGATAAAAAAGGTCCCCTTAAATCTTGCTGAGAGGCAAGACAAATTTATGGTTCTTTGTTAAGCAAGTTCATATCATTTATAAAGCATTGCATGACAGGTGACAATTTTTTAATGATTTGGGTTCAACCTTTGGGGATGTACACCCCTCTAGGGTGGTAACACCTTTAAAATGTGGAATAGAATAATATAACCAAAATTGGACAAGCCTTAAAGGACTTTCCCACAACTCTCGATGATTTTCAAGCAGCCTCTTTTTATTAAGCCTATGAAAGGTACCTCATATTTTCTATATTATTTCTTAAAGTATTTTCTTGGGATTTAACATAGGCTCTTGAAACTAATTTTTGTTCTACCCCTCTCTTCCTCTTTTTCTAAATACTTAAAATTTGTCCATAACATACTTTTCCAACTTTGATATCTCTGGCTGAACTTTTTTCTAATGCTTTTGTAAAAAGTTTGGTGAAAACTTGTCAAAGTTTTTAGTGGAGTTTCATTACTCATCCGGTATCATCTGTCCTCCATTTCCCTACGTTCCCTTTGGGCTGCCCATCACTTTTGATGTTTTATCCTTGGGCTGTCAACACGTGCTCTGACACGCCCCCTATTCCGCCCTCTCGGCACTTTTTAGTTGAGGCTAAAGCAGTGTAACACATGTTATCCTATATCTCCCCATTCCGAACCCACACCTAAACTTATCTTTTATTCTGTCACAAGGCGAAAAGGGTTTCTTTGTGTGAATAATTTAGCCAGGATATTTCATATTTTCTGGAACAAATTAACTCAACTTTGGGGAGCAGGTGAAAATGTAAACTAACCGTTTGAAATTTAGTGAATATATAAAGTAATAACAATGCTAAAGTTAAATATATTATAGTATTACATATTTTTCACGCTTTAAAAATGTTAAATAGAAAAACAAATTTGGTTGAAGATATGATAATTTGCAATGATCCCTTAGGGACCAGTAAACAACAAATGCTAACCGTCGTTATCCCCTATTCCATCCCCTATCTTTTCATAATCCCCCAATTCAATTTGCATGACAATCGAAACTCATTGCGAATGCAAAAACGATTTCTTGAAACTTTTCAATTATTTAAACTTTTTACGGGGGGAAAAAGTATTACTAGGAAGCTCCTCAAATGGCGGACACCTAAAAATAGCCTATGGAAGAGAAAGAAAAACGAAACGAAAGGAAACCTTCAAATACACACACCCATGCGAATAAAAAGGAAAAATTCCACTCTGTTGAATGTACAAATACACACACGTAAAAATGTTAATAGTGGCCTGTTGAACAAGAAAAAGCAACAGCATCCTCTTTATGCTCTCTCTCCCTCTTTGAATCCGATTCTCTCTTTTGAGCGCAAGCTCAGAGAGCAACAGCAGCGGTCATTAAATTAGAACTAGTCAAGCGTAACGACTACGTCATATTTTTGCAAGAGGTGGAGTTTGTGGGGGTTTTCTGTAGAGAACAAGAGCGAGTTTAAATGGGAGAGCTTTCTACCATGGAGAGGGGAGGGGAAAGAGGGTAAACAAGTACGCAAAATTCTGAGGGAAGAATGATTCTGCGGAAGGAGGCTGCTCTCTCATCTCACTTCTTTTCCCCTTATTCTGCTTTTCCCTCCAAATCCCATATCCACCCACACAGTGTAATTGCAAACATAGTGTACATACATACATACCTACGCTAAATGTACAACAGAAACAAGTACAGTGGGCAAAATGGGTAAAAGATCAACTAATTTCATGGTAAAAACCTTTTAATCACGGAGTTCGAAATTCTTTGCAAATTCGATTTTTTTATACTTAGTTTTGTACATAATTGAGTGAATTTTTTGAATCAATCGGATCTAAAAAACAAATGATTAATAAATCATATGAATTAAAAAAATCATATTTTTGATGAATACCTTTCACAATTATAATAGAATTTTTTTTTTAATACTTTCCACAATTATAATTGGATTTTTTTTTAACACTTTTTATTCTAAACTGTTGACAGCCACTGTGCTTCCTATTCTACTCTAAAACGAGTACACTCTTCTTCACTCTACTCCATGTCCTTCGCTTCGATTGCTTTATTCTTGTTTGTTTGTTTGTTGTTTTTGCCGCACGAGCTGCAAAGCGGTTGCGCAAAACGAAGGACTTGCGAATTAAGAGCCGAAAGGAAAGCCGAAGAGGCGAACGAACGAACCATGACCATGCCAAAGGATGAAATATTAACAGCGTCACTGCGAAGGGGCCGCCAAAAGTAGTTGACGATTGCCGCTCTGTTTCTCTCTTTTCTCTCTCTCTCTCTCTCGCTTCTCTACACCACAAAACTTCAAATTCAGCATCCCCATGTGCTTTTTAATTTGCGTTTGTGTGTGTGTCTGTCGAGTAACTGTGAATGACCGCGGAACGTTGTGGAATTGTGGAACAGAAATTAGAAAAGTTTCACGCTTTTCTTTGTTTGTTATTGTTGTCTGTAAAGTCCCTCTCATCCCTTTTTTCTTTTTGTAAACTTTCCACTAATCTTCTGATTTGTTTTTCTTATTTTTCAGATATGCACGAGGTGGCGAAAGCTAAGCGAGAATTCGGCGGCAGATGACAAGGACAACGCCACGCACATGGCGGCAAGGCTACAACAAGGATACAGGATACGGCCAACCGGATATTAAACTATCAACACTAGCCAGCACAGCAAAACGAAACTGAGGCATAACTATTAGCGTGCTTTGCTGTTGTTTCTGTTTCTGTTGGGTGAAAAAGAACAGGACACCATGGCGGCAACGGCTACGGAAATGGGAACAGGTCCTGCGGCCACCAGGGAGTTCGTCGAGGGTTGGACTTTGGCCCAAACTCTGGGCGAAGGTGCCTACGGCGAGTGAGTGTCCCTAAAATTAATTACAAATTCCATTACATTTAGAATTATTATGATCGAATGATAGAAATAGTCATGGTTATTAGAACCCATACATTTAAAATCTTTAACAAAGTATGCTCTTCTGTATTAATCACATGGAAATCGGGAAGTTTAGGGAAATTTGTTTTTTTCAAAAGAAAAATAATCGTCTTAAAGTCTTGAAATGTACAACATAAAGAAATTCCTGAATGAATGACTGGCACGTTCTATACATTCTCGTTTGCGTTAGTACCTTAACGATCTTAAGTCCTAAAGTATGCAAGGACAAATAATGTGACAATACTTCACTTTAAAGTTTAGTTTTAATTTAAATGTTTTTTAAAATAGTAATCAAGATACGATCTTTATTTTGAATATAAATTACAAATGTCCTCGTGCCTTTTTGTGCGTCTGTGTGTGTGTGTTGAAGTCAATAAACCGGAAATGCTGCAGAGCAAAAGAGCAAAAAAAAAGAAATACTAACTGAAACGCACTTTTCCGGCGTATTCGCTGTATACATTCATCCCGAAAGCACCCGCTGTGCGCCCCCCTTATAAGGGACTCCTCAGTGCGCATGTCCCCGGTGTCCGGGTCCGGGTCCGGGGAATTTGAGGACTACGGGAGTACAACGAACGAACGACAGACAGACAGACACACGGCATACGGAGCACTCGATGCACCCGGACGGAGAGCAGTCGATACACAGACACCAACGTTGCAACTGCAATTGCAGTTCGTCCTGCGTCATATATCCCCCTACTAATCCCCGACTATATCCGATATCTTCGATGCAGGGTGAAGCTGCTAATCAACCGGCAGACTGGCGAGGCTGTGGCCATGAAAATGGTGGATCTAAAGAAGCATCCGGATGCGGCGAACTCGGTGCGCAAGGAGGTCTGCATACAGAAGATGCTCCAGGACACGCATATCCTGCGATTTTTCGGCAAGCGCTCGCAGGGCACCGTCGAGTACATTTTCCTGGAGTACGCCGCCGGCGGAGAACTATTCGATCGAATTGGTGAGTTTCAGTTTGTTTTTAATATCTACAGCTATATTTATATAGATTATTATACAAATCAGTAGTTTGCAATATTTAAAGCAAATAATATTTTATTTTATAGATTAAAGTCTACTTAGGCCTTAAAAACGTAGAGTTTTAAACCTAGAATTTTTATAAATCAGTAATTGTAGCATTTTTAAAGAGTTTTAGGGTTTTAACCTATTAAATATTTAAGACCTCTAAAAATATTTGTTTAAAAGTCTTTTCTACTGATGGTATTTTGCTTTTTGGCTTACCATGCTAAGCCTTTCTTTTCCCCTAAAGAGTTTTATATGAGCTTTATAGCAAAGCAAGCTACTTAAAGTTTGCTGGCCACTCAACTTGCCATACGCCAGAATCCGGGATGAAACTTGGCCAACATGCCGGGAAACCATAGAATGCAATAAATGAAATTATCCCTCAAAGCATGCTTTGAAATAGTTGAGAATATTGCTAAAATCTGCTTAGTGAATTGGGATTACCAAAGGTAATGTCTCAAGGAAGATTATAGTTAGACAGACAATGATAATGATAATGATAAAGACAGGTAAAGAAGAAAATCCTTGCCTTGGCTCTATCTTAAGAAATCACTTCTTCAGTGAACTTTTTATTCTCAATATTATTTTATAAGATTGCTTTTGTTTATGGTTCATTATTATTCCTGCCTGTGTGTGTGTGTGTTTGGCATCATCCTACATTCGAAACTCATCCAAGTGGGAAATAAAATAGGAGGAGTCGAAGAGGGGGCCTGGGCGCAGATGCCACATAGTCATATAGACGTCGGCCAGACGGGGCAAATATGCCAATATGGGCAAAACAAACCGACTGACAGCGGTCTTGTTGTACTTTTCGAGGGTGCAACTTGAAGTTCCTCCTGCCTGGTGCCATCCAGTGAACTGAAATGGAACGCACACACATCTATCTATGTATTCCTCCTGCAGCAGCAGCGGGAACGACAAATCAGACTGACAAGATACGGATCTTGATTACGCCAGCTTTCTGTCTCTTTTGCAATGACAATTTGCCAAATGTACAGGCGAATAGGGGGGCAAATGGAAAAGGGAGGACGGACACTAGGTGCCAAGCTCGTGGCATTTTCATAAATATTAACAGCTTGGCAAAAGGTCAGCCGAAGAGCAGCGAGTGTGGAAGCGGAGAGAGATTGCCCCTAATGGAAGTGGCGTCCTTGCATTGATTGCCACCTCATCCTGGACCGCCCCCGATTTCGCCAATTCCCAATCACCATCATCATCATCGTCGCCAACATTTTGCTCCGCCCTCCCCGCAGGGGATGTTGCATGGGGAGACGGTGTAATAATCAATGTGGCAGCCATATTTAGTCCCCGGTTGCTAAGCCATTTTTAATGATATTTAGAGATGTTACCAAGTTCGAGTGATGGGCACTTTAATTACTAAGGGAAATTAAAGGTTTTCGGTTAAAAACAATAACTTCGACACCGAATAATGCTTTTTAAGTGTCAATAGGTAAAAAGTTAAAGATTGGCCTATAAAGGCATTCAAATTTATTATTTGAAAACCCCTATTTATTTTATTTAAATAATAAGTTATAGTTTTTGATGTATTGTATCATAAATACAGCTGAATATTCCCTTTGTGGGTGAAAGGCAGAACTATTAAATTATACAAAAAATGATGCAAATCTTTAAAAAACACACAACACAGTGTCATTTGTATGAGAATTTGGTTGTGCGCCGCACGAGGTAGTACACTGTACGTGTGTCGGTAGAGCCTTTTCCCTATAGGAGGCTGCTGACCGCTGTTATAAGCGTATTATTCCACTTTTGAACAACAGCATATATGGAAAACTAGGATTGTATTTTGGAGGTGCACAATTACTGATGAGAATAATACTGAACGATTTTAAAATCATATCATGGTCACTTTAATTCATCACCCAATCACATACCTAGTCACTCACGAAATCGAATCATCATCAGATATCACGCTTGCATCTCTTCTATGGTTTTAGCGGTCTATCGCCTGTTGGATAGGCAACAAAGCATCCTTTTTCCCCAGGCAGGATAGAAAATTGGTTAGCAGGGGGGTGAGGGGGCAGCCTATAGGGATGGAGCAGAAGCAGAGTGCAATGAATGGCTTGCCATAAATAGGTTCAATATGCAAATGAAACATAATGGAGATGCACACACGCAACCAGATGTCCTCCATTGCGAACGTGTGTGTGAGTTTAATTGTCTGTTTGCACAGAAATGCATTCATTAAGCTTATACACCCCCAAAATAGGGGGGGGGGATGACAGGGAGGATCCTGAAATCGGGTGAGCTTATAGATTCCCAACCGATTCGGCCATTCACTCAATCTGAGAAGGGGGTTCGATATAAATTATGCTTCAATTACAAATGAAATTTTCGAGTAATTCCCCTCATTTCCATTGCCTTGCCATAATATCCCACTGTTGGGGCGACCATACTTTTCTCCCACTTTGCAAAATGCAATTAATTATGCTAAAATGTTACTGACATCCTGAAATTTTATTGCTTCCATCTTATTTTCTCGGCTTCTCGTTTATGCAAATGCATATACTTTATCATCTCGCCGTTTTTATTTGCGGTACTCGAGCTTTTAAAGTCTGTCAATATTTCTTTTCATACTTAAACACTGATATCAGATGGCTTGCAGATACAGATACTGGAAGAAAAGTGTTCGCAAGGAAATGTTATTCAATTTCTTATAGAAATAATAATACATATGTAATAGTTTCACAAAATAAAGTTGTTAAGTCCAACACCTTGAGGTCTAAATCAGCTTTTCGAAGTTTATCATTCTGGCGACGCTATAATTCCCAACCAGTTAAAGCGCAGGTTGTTATACAATGAAGAAGTTCGCTCCTTTTTGAATGTCAAGACTTCGACTTCTTAAAATCTTTTACAACTTTTAAATAATTTAAAAATATTAATTTTATTAGTTATTAATTAAGCTAGAAATATATAAATAATACCATATTTTCTTAGTGCATCATGCAGTCGCCTCCATTTAATTTTACCCCTGGCAAAAGAGTTGTGCAAATGGCGCCAACCAGCAACATGCCACATGATAAATGAATGGCAAACAATGTGGCACACAGATGGGGGCTGTGCTTATAGATGTGGGCGTGGCACACCTGCCCAACTTTATCTCCCTGCACAATCAACATTTAAGGCATTACAAATTGAGAGTGACAAGAAGCCAAAGTAATACAGAGAAGAGAATAGAAGTAGGAACTTGGGAGAAAATTTGTTGGGAAAACTCAGTGGAAATTGATGCTGCTCGGTTGAAAAATGATTACTTAGAAGTTTTTACTCGCCAATTGTTTGCTCTTTTCCTTGAAATTGGTCGGAACAGAAAAAGCAATTAAAATTGGTAGGGATTTCAAGAGCATCCTTACATATGGTAATTGATTCCCAGAACTCTCAAGTATTTCTCACAAGGGAATTCCAATTGTTTCACTGGTTTAAAAGACTTTCTTTAATGATTTTACCTTAAAAGTAAACACCCTTCTAAATTTGCTTTAAATTGTTATATTACATTTTCTTTACAAATTCTTTACATTTTCTTTATATTTTTCCATGAAAAGCTGTAACTCAAGAACTACCAAATTGTATCAATCAAAATGGCAAATTCCATCAGTTCGATGCAAATTTCTAAACATAATTCTGCTTTTTCGCTTCGCCTTTGACCTGCCCGCCATCAAAATGGAAGAGTCCAAAGCTGGAACAAGG